TTTTTTATTGACTTCCATAGAGTCCTCTGTTCTCCTATTCTTTCCAATACCTCTTCATTTCTAACCTTTTCTACCCACGATATCCTCATCATCCTCCTATAACACCACATTTCGAACGCTTCTAACCTTTTCTCTTCCGCCGCGCCCACCGTCCATGTTTCGCACCCGTACCATGCCGTGCTACAAACATATACCTTCAACAACCTTTTTCGAATTTCTAAATTAACCGTTCGCGAGCATAGAAGTAACTTCTTTTTATTAAAGACGACACGACCCTGCGCTATCCTCTGCTTTATATCCCTACTACTCCTTCCATCCTGACTTATCTGACTTCCTAGGTATCTAAAATCAGCCATTTCTTCTAATTTTTAGTCTCCTATCTTTATATTCGCTTTTTCCCTACTTTTTCTTCCCTTGCATACCAGTATTTTAGTTTTTACTTTTATTTATTTTCATACAGTACTGATCTGTCAGTACCGCTTCCATTTTATTTAAAGCTATCTCTAGGTCCTCCTTGCTAGATGCTAATACTGCTATATCATCTGCAAATCTAAGGATACTAATCTTCTGCCCTTGCATATCTATCCCTACAGTTGTACTGTCTTTAATGATGTTGATGGCGTCTTCGATGTATAGATTAAAAAGTATCGGTGACAGTGTGCATCCCTGCCTGACTCCCTTCCTAATATTTACTTCTCTACACACCTTAAATTATTTATTATTAAAATTCTGCTACAAAAACGTAAAAAGCAACACAAAAAATATTGAAAATCACGTAGTTAAGAGAAACATAGTAAAATTTGACAAGTTTTACAGTTGCAGCATTAAGTACAAAATTTAATGTAGTAGAAGGTTTTTAATCATACAAAAAAAATAATGAGCAACAATCGTCCATTAATGAACTATAAATAATTGGATGACTTATGAAAAAGTCGATTATGGAATTAGCATTTGGTACGAATGTTTCCATTAAATTTTAGCTGGCCCAGCAAACCAAAATAGAACGAACGTTGAACCTTAATAAATGCATATTGATGTTGGAATGTGCCAACGTTAAATAGTCTTGGTTGGCTCTTCCTAAACATGTAACGTTCGAAACATCAACTCTCAGGTGAAACAATTAAAGGTCAGTTAACAGCGCGACCCACAACAAAATTTGCACATTAAAGTACCTAAACCTACTTAGAAAGATAATTTTTAATATTTAAGATCATGCTTAATAAAGTTGAAATTAAGTGGATATTCATGGTATGGGTATTACAGGATCCGATGGGTCAAGATATGCCCGTGGAACAGACCTTATCACATTCACATTGTACACTGACTCGACCGTTAACTGTATCCCATTTTGTCACTGAGTAACCGAAGATCAGTCCCTTGAGATTCTGAATTACCTGTACGTTGCCAGTGCAATATACGTATAATAAGATAACTAAACATAAATTCTAAAAATAAAATGAAAATGTAACAGACGTTACTTTTGACGTGGTTGGACGGTCCTCGGACGTTTGTTTCATTTTTATTTTATTTTTAGAATTGGTGTTTATTTTACTTACTATATATACATATACGTAATTATTTCAATTAAAAATAATTTTGGCAAACGAATTGCAATGTTTATTTTGCTACTTTTGGAAAGAATTTCTTAGTTTATTTAATTATGGAATTCCAAACAATAAGTAATAATAAATTTTATAACCAAGTGTGAGTTTTGACGTAAAAAATTAACATTAATTCAGTTGATGAAGAAACTACAATAAATTAGCAAAACGTTCGATTGAATTTGTAGTTTTTCTTTGATTTTAATTTTGTCTAAATCCTTTGAGAGAAACCTTCGAATTTAAATTAGCAATTATTATGTGCCTATTTCACCCGCCGTTGTGTTTATTGTTTATTACAATTAAACTTCCTGAAATTATAAATTCCAAACACCATTTGGTAAAATAATTATTTCCTTATATTATTAAATATCAGTTATTCCTTCGAATTATAGCATGGCAGAGAAACAAGCACTAAAAATATTATTACAATTATCTACATCTAATCAAAATTTTTATTACAGTTAATTGCTATAAGTTAAGAAATATTTATTGACTTTGGAATTGTAATTTGGCATTAATTACGAAATATTTGCTACTGACCTTCGATACAGTTAATTAAATTTATATAATATGTAGATATGTCGATTTCGTTTCGAAATACCAGACTAATTTTAATGCATTCGCTAATCACTTGGTTTGAAAAGAATAGACGAAGTAATATAAACATTCATAGAAATTATGTGAAGAACTGTTGTTTTTTTTCCGTTCGAGCAATGTCTATTATATTGTAATTAACTGATAGAAGTTTTCTTTAATCTGAACTCTATTTAACCTATTAATAAAACTGCTAGATTGATAAAGGTCACCTCCTTAAAACCCAACCATTTACAATTGATAGTAACAAACATGTATTGTACCACATTACAATACACAGTGCGTTCTAAAGTTTACAATTATTTCATTTTTTAAGCATCAACTCAAGCAGTAAAGTAAGAAAAAATGATATTGTTGTGAACGAATGCCTTAGACGGTAATCGATATAGTCGGCACTTTTTACGTTTGATGTCCGTAGCCCCAAAGCGGAATATCAGAAATTTTCGATAAATTTATAACCTAGCATCATTTTTTATAAATAGATGAATGCTTCCAGCGAAGACAAAAGGCCGACGATTAAAGAAAGGTTCGTTACAATATTTTAATTCAAGGCATTGGTAAATAAAAACAGGTTTCTTTTGGCAATAGTACGATGTTTACAACAGTTTTACTTGTTTTTTTTTTCGTTATGTAAGAATGAAACCTAAAATTAAAATAAAAAATATTTTTCTAAAAATAATTCGGCATGAGTATGTAGCAGCGGTCAAGACCGGTCACTATCATATCGAGAGAACTGTACAGCAAATATTGTACAGCCACCTACGATAGTCACAGGTTCGATGGTTACTCAAATTTCGAATCGTGAAGACTTAACTCGATAAGTATTTTTTCAATTAATTTCTTCCTACTTATTAATTAAACTACGAACTGTAATTCTTATTGTGATTATTCTGTGAACTGAATTATTATGTGATTGGAAATAAAACAAGAAAGTGAAGAATGGAACCTATGAAACTTGATGACAAAAAAAATAAACCAAATAAAAATTTTCTTTTGGCAACTGTTATTTCATGTAAGTAATTTAAGAATTTCTATTATTTCTTTAATTTTGAGTTTACTGATTATAAACTTTAACTCAATGTAAAATTGTTTTTCCAAATTTTTTTTTGACTACTTAGAATTTTAAATATCTAAAATCTTTTTTATTATGTACGAATATTAGCAACAAATAGAAATTCACTTTGTTTAAAGAAATATTCAACTTAGGAATTGTTTACAAAACTATTTCTTCTTTTTACTATTTATTTATACAAAACGATTGATATTGTCTCAAACTTTGAACCTTCAATTGCTTATTACGCGTTCAGTCGATCAGTAAATATATTATTGTCATTACAAAAAAAAAATTATATTAATAATATTGAAGCACCTACCCACGCGGAACATCGTTTTTAAATTCGATACTGTACCCCCCACAAAATTATTCTACCTACACGAATTATCAAACGTGAGCGAATATACTGATACGTACACTTATGAATTCTGATTGATTTTCCATGGTTGTAAAAAAAATAATATTGCGAAAAAAACTACCGCCAAAATACGTACAATTTTAAGTAGTTGGCTTCTACTTATCATTGTAGCGGTTATTTTTAAATGCTGTTATGGATTTGTATATCGTTAAGTTTTGAAGTTCAAAGAAAATGTTTCAACTTTGTTACTATCACCTCGGTTAGATTGTGATGTAGCTTCTTTGATTCCTACCGCTCCCTCTGTCTAATCAGGAACTGAAACTGATAATGTAGCAAAACCGAATAGTTAATTTTTCGTTACATTACACCCGAAGAGTTAATTATTGTAGTTACTTTCGGAACCAACATTGCTTTCAAAAATGCCTAAGTGGAATTGAAAGTAGCGATAAATACATTATTTTATTCAATCATTATTTTTCTTTTGTACAAAAAAAAGAATTGTTTATAAGCGCAATAAATAGCGGACGACCTTCATAAATAGTTAAAAAAAGCAATTCAAAAATCTTTAAAATTTTGCACATTCTGCAATTTTACAGTAATTGTTTATAATGTCTCTTTATACATAGAACCTTGAATTTGCTAATTTATTTACATAACAGCGACAATATTATATTGTGGTAATAGTAATTTTCAATGCCGCACTTTTTTTTACTTGCAGCGTTGTATGTTATCATAACTAAAACGTGTTGATCTATAAGTCAGTCCAAAAAGTAGCACTTGCTACAAAACAACCAAGCAATATTGAAGTTAGATTTACCAGAAAACAACTTGAAAAATGTTACTGTTAACATCAAATATTTGATAAATAAATTCTACCCTATAATTAGATTTTTCTAGCGCATATTTGCAGTATTTTATAATCAGGTGGGTATTACAATATCATTATAAAAAAATGCATCAACATCATCGTTAAAAAAGTTTGTAAGCCCTATACAAACAGTTACGACTTACCTGTGTAATATTTCTTGCGATTTGTAGACGAAAAGAATGTTTCCGGAAACTTCCCGTAACTTCTTTTTGTCGTATCGGTCGTATCTGCTATATAATATATGACCCGCAACTGCCGACTCTCGGGTACATTAAAATTGGCACCGGTATCGATCGCCAGCGGTATTTATTCATAGTCTTTTTACTATTACCACTTTCAAATCATCAACAATCAATCGCAAATCTGAATACGCGTCTATATAGCCTAACTATTTGCTATTATATCTCTAACTACCTCTCGTACACTTCCTAAACCTCCTCAATTCTAACCTTTTCTAACAAAGGGTAGTAGCACGTTGCTATAAACACTATAAACCCAATAGTTTTTAACTATACTATCAACACTGTTGATACTTTGGATTTAAATAAAATAATTATAGTTTTATCCTTGTTTCTCCCGTAGGCAACTTGGGTTCCTTCGCGTCCGGAATCCTTTTGACATGGACTTCCCCTGTATTACCCAAACTCAATAACGCGACCAACGTCGATTCAAATCCGTTGGGAGAACCAATAAATCTTATTCAGGAATCATGGATTGGTTCCTGTTTGGCACTAGGTGCCATTTTTGGTCCCCTCTTGGCAGGATTCACAGCTGACAGGATTGGCAGGAAGAACACACTCGTTTATTGCGCTGGACTTCCATTCCTAATATCCCTCCTAATCCTGGCCTTTGCCAAAACTCCTTTTCTATACTACGTAGCACGGTTCCTGGGCGGTTTTGGGATTGGTAACTTATACACAGCTCTCCCAATGTACTTCGGCGAAATATCCGAAGCATCCATCAGAGGAGCCGTGTCATCTTCCATGAACGTATTCATTTGTTTGGGGGAATTGTACGCATACGCGGTTGGACCGTATGTGTCCATAATGTTATTCTGTCTGTCATGTGCCGTGTTTCCGCTCGCTTTCATCCTGACCTTCTTCTTTTTCCCCGACAGCCCTTACTATCTTCTTGCCAAAGACAAAATGAGAACTGCCGAAAAATCTTTGATGAGACTAAGAAACCGGACGAAATCGGGAATTCAACAAGAACTGAAGATGATGCAAAGAAACGTAGAAGAAGAAGCAGTAAACAGGGGAAGTTTACGGGATATATTTAAATCGAAAGGACTCCGAAAAGCTCTGTTAATTTGCCTGGGACTTGTGTCGTTTCAACAATTTTCTGGTATCACCGTGGTGCAATTTTATGTAACGAATATATTTGAGGCCACAGGGAGTTCTTTATCCCCTGATGTGTCTGCAATTATTGTTGGGATTGTCCAGCTCCTGGCCAGCTTCTCGACCCCCATTTTAGTAGATCGACTCGGAAGGAAGCTGCTCTTCCTGATGTCAGCAATTGGAATGGTAATATCCGAAGTGCCGCTGGGAATTTATTTTTATTTGAAAGATGGTGGTACTGACGTCAGTACTTTGGGGTGGTTGCCAGTTCTTTCACTGGTTGCTTACATTATAACATATAACCTAGGGTTTGGCCCTCTCCCTTGGACTGTGATGGGAGAAGTATTTCCCTCAAATGTCAAATCCACAGCTTCCATGATTACTGCAAGCGTTTGTTGGGCGCTTGGGTTTTTAGTGGCTAATCTATTTCCGATTATCGCAGAAGCGATGGGGAAGGGGGGAACATTCTGGCTGTTTTCAGGATTTTGCGTTCTTGCCGCCATTTTTACAGCTTTATTTTTGGTCGAGACCAAAGGCAAATCTCTCCAAGAAATCCAAAAAGAACTCAACAAGTAACAACTTCCTCAGTTTAAAATTTGGATCCAGTGTGTATCTCAAAGCTTAATTTCTAATAAAAATCTATTGTAAATAATGTTATTAAGCATCTATATTGTACATAACTATCTAGTTATTATTTTTGTATGATATTTATGTGACGCATATTTTGATGTTTACCAAAAACTGCCCAATNAGAAAAGGTTAGAAATGAAGAGGTATTGGAAAGAATAGGAGAAAAGAGGACTCTATGGAAGTCAATAAAAAATAGGCGAGATAGGTTGGTAGGATATCTTCTCAGGCATGAAGGCCTAGTCAGATTTATATTAGAGGTAGAAACAGGAGTTAGGAGGGGTAGAGGTAGACCTAGATTAGATTACTCTTCGCAAATAGTAAAGGATGTAAGCTGTTTTAGTTTTAGGGAAATGCGAAGTTTAGCTCAGGATAGGAAAGAGTGGAGGTACGTGTCCAACCAGTCTTAAGACTGATGACCTTATGATGATGATGATCACATTAAGTACGTAGTTAAATACATATAACTTATAATTCCGTTACGTTACCTTTCAAATTATACTCCATGCGACACCATTTTGAAATATTCTAAGTTTCGCGTTTTTTTTTTTTTTTGACAGAATTGTATTGTATCAAAAATAGTGATTTATTAGCCTTGTAATCTTCTGTAATCAATCATTTTATAAATTCTTGATTTGATATATAACAATAAAGTGCGACATTTATTGTCTGTAAGAAGGATTGTTGGAGTACGAAATTTTATCTTATTGTTAATATTTTTATCAATTATTTGATTAAATATAGCGCAATGAGTACTACAGTCCACTCTACAATACTAGCGATGAAATCTGAGATTGCGAAAACTGCTAGACGCATTGAAAATACTTCGAGCAGTATTTTATATCACAGTTCTCAATTCCAAAAATAAAACGTGATTACAATTAAATAGTCTTTTCAATCTATATACTGGGGTAAGGCAAAATATTGGCTGAACATTAAAATTACACAGTTCTTTGACAAATTTTTTTTCTGTATCAGTCCAGCGAAAATGCATAATTTAGTGAACATATGGAATATATTTTTTCAACCAGTGGTAATCGTATGCAAGATTTTCGTTCGGGGAGGGGGCTAATTTTTAATTTAATTATGCTTATTTTTGTATATAAACTGAACCTAAATTTATTCTTCATAAAAAGTGTATAAGGAAGACTTGAATATTGACGAAACTCTTGTACAAACTAGAGTGGGTGGATCGGCTTGCGAGTTTCGAAGATTTAGGGAGCCGGACGATAGGTTCAACCACAATGGGGGGTTCTTAAAAAGAAACCAGACTAAGACAAGTCCCTGAAAGAGGACAGCAGCTCTTTCAGTAATCAGGGATGTGAAAAGCAACGGGAAACCACCACATTATAATATCTCAAGTAAAACACACCAAACTAAAATGATGGCGTCCTCTGGGGTAAAGCACCCCGGACGTAAACTAGACCTCCATTCCAATATCCAATAGGGATAGGTGCAAAATTTCACGAGTCGGAGCGTCGAATGGTACGACAATGAGGCAAATAGGAAAATTGGAACATTTAGACCTAGATTAAATTACTATTCGCAAATAGTTAAGGATATGGGTTGTTCTAGTTTTAGGGAAATGCGAAGATTAGATCGGGATAGGGAAGTGTGGAGGTGCGTGTTCATCGATCTTAGGACTGACGATCTTATGATTAAAATTCCACAGTTTTTAAAATGCATAATTTAGAGAACATGTGGAATATGTGGAATATATGTTTTCAACCAGTGAGTTATAAGTGGTATCATAATTTATATCAGGGACGCATGCAAGATTTTAGTTCTGGGAGGGGGCTAATTTTTAATTTAATTATGCTTCTTTTTGTATATAAACTGAACCTAAATTTATTCTTCTTAAAATGTGTGTAAGGATGGCACGCAAAATCGTGAAGCGTTCCACATTTTTCTGATCCGACGGGACTTGAACCGTAACGAAACTCTGGTACAAACTAGTGGGTGGATCGGCTTGCGAGTTTCGATGATTTAGGGAGCCGGACCACAGGTTCAACCATAATGCAGGGGGGTTCTTAAAGAGAAACCAGACTAAGACAAGTTCCTGAAAGAGGGCATCAGCTCTTTCAGTACTCAGGGTGGCAGAGATCACGTGGATCGGTATGGCACTCTGATGCACAATACTGCGATGTGGAAGGCAAAGGGGAAACCACCACATTATGATATCCCAAGTAAAACACACCAAACTAAAATGATGGCGTCCTCTGGGGTAAAGCACCCCGGACGTTAACTAGTTCTCCATTCAGATGTCCGGGCTGGGACTACCTCGGGGGATGTCATAAGTAAGAGCAATAGGGGTAGGTGCAATATTTCACGAGTAGGAGCGTGGAATGTTAGGATAATGGGACAAGTAGGGAAATTGAAAAATTTAGACCTACATTAGATTACTGTTCGCAAATAGTTAAGGATACAGCATGATCCAGTTTTAGGGAAATGCGAAGAAGATTAGCTCAGGATAGGGAAGAGTGGAGGTGCGTGTCCAACCAGTCTTAGGACTGACGACCTTATGATGATGAAAATTTGTGTAGATATTGTGTATAAAATTGCTAGCACACATCAGTCTGTTTTAAATTAGAATCAACGATTTCTTCTTCATTCACAGTCTGGTCAAAATATCTCTCATTTATTTTTGATCGTCTAAAAAGGCACGCTTGTTCGGTTCTAACCCTTACCATAAACCATATTTCTTTCAAAATTACCATTCCCTACTGACACTACCCTCTTCATATTTTTAAAAATAAATTTTGCGACATACTATAGTAACCTTCTCATCTTTAAATACATCCTTCACTGCCATTTGTTTCTATTATGGTGTTATCACCTCTTGTTTAGGGTATTCTTTTAATTTCGGAAGGGTAAGGTTCATTTTGTATTTACCATGGACTTACAATAATTCTATAACATAATGTTATTTTTTATTTGCAGTTAACATTAGCTCCTTTGTGGCTGGTATAACATTTGGATGGACATCACCCATGATCCCAAAACTAAACGGCCAAGAAGACCCTCACTTGAATCCCGTTCAACCCCCCATCACGCCCACTGACGAGTCTTGGATCGGTTCTTTACTTCCCCTAGGGGCTGGGATTGGACCATTCGCTGCCGGATTCTTCCTTGACAGGATTGGAAGGAAAAAGACACTCCTTGCATCGAACGTACCGTTTCTGGTAGCCTTCATAATGTTTGCAGTTTGTTCAGAAGTAAAGTACTTCTATATCGGACGGTTCCTTTGTGGTGTAGCAGTCGGTGGTATATTTACGGCACTGCCCATGTACGTAGCAGAAATATCAGATGACGCAATCCGTGGTACATTGGTATCGTTCTTTGAATTGTTTATGGTAGCAGGTCTACTCTTTGCTTACGCCGTTGGACCCTACATCTCCATGGCAGTATTCAATTATATATGTGCCGTTTTATCTTGTATATTCATGGCGGTATTCTTCGTTTTCATTCCGGAAAGTCCTTACCATCTGGTGGCTATCAAAGACGATAAAGCCGCGTCCGAAGCTTTAGCGAAATTCCGTGCAAAATCCGAAAATGCAGTTCAGAAAGAACTGTTCTTTATCAAAGGCGCTGTTGAAGAAGCCATGGCGAACAATGCCAATTTTTTCGATATCTTTAAGTCAAAAGGAGCTACAAAAGCTCTTATTATATCTGTAAGTCTTGTATCTTTACAGCAGTTCTCTGGTATCATCGTGATTCTATTTTACAGTCAGACAATTTTCGCGGCAACCGGAAGCACTATTCCACCAGAACTTTCGACCATTATGCTAGGTACGGTACAGGTACTTGGGTGCTTTATTCCCTCAGTTTCGGTTGACAGATGGGGAAAAAGATCTCTGCTCATAATCTCTGGAGTAGGGATGGGACTAGCGGAAGGCGTGTTGGGCTATTACTTCTATTTGAAAATGGGGGGCTCGAATGTTCAGCCCATTTTCTGGCTTCCGGTCGCGTGCATGATCATTTTTATTGTGGCATATAGCACGGGCTTTGGACCTTTGCCATGGGCTGTATCTGCCGAATTGTTCACTTCGGATGTGAAATCTTCAGCGTCAACAGCTACAGTGTCCATCTGCTGGCTTTTGGGCTTCGTACTTACCAAGTTCTTCGCGGAAGTTTCCGATGCCATTGGCATTTCGAACTCGTTTTATATTTTCGGGCTGTGTTGCTTAATAGCGGCACTGTTCGTTTATAAATTTCTACCGGAAACGTCAGGCAAAAGTTTACAAGAAATCCAAGACATATTAAACGGAGTGAGCAAGGACAACGTCGAAAATGCGAAAGTGTAAGAACATAACGAGTACTAGTTAGGGCGCCACATAACAATTACGTTGTTGATAATTAATTTAAAATTGATTATACATAATTGATAAATTGTTAACTATGTTGATGGGCACGACTTTGCCATCAAAAAAAATTGTTTTACGATTAATACCTCGCATGTAATGATATGAATCGATTTATCTTGAGTAACACTTAAGGCTACTTGGTGCGATGACAAATTGATTTCTGACATGATGACAAGTCTTTATTAGACAAAAAATCTTGTATCTGAAATAAGATATGGAATCTAATTACATTAATTATTCTGTTTTATTTATAATTCTTGCTGTATGCAGATTTGTAAGTAAGGGTTTAGAATAGCTGTACATACGTACATATTGTATAGTGGGTACGTAGTAATACGAATTATTTATTTAAAAATAATATTTTATAAATATGTACCTACAGACCTCGCATTTGTTTGTCTGTGTGTGATAGTAGATGATAATACTATTGTTGTTCCTGCAATTTTATTCATTTGATAATATTGTATTATTTTTTATGGCTTGTTAAAAAAAACATTTATTAATGTTACTTTTTCGAATATATTTCTGTTATCTACCGTAAAGTTTATTTTATTTTTGGAATTCTCAACACCCTCTACAACCCCTACCGGCAACGTTCATGCATTTATCTAAATTTCTCAATAAATACCACAGTAAAGTTGTAATCGTAGTACATGAAATTGTTTATTTATAATTTTTAGCTGATGTAAAATGGGTGGCCTAAGTCCTAAGACTGGTTGGACACGCACCTCCACTGCTTCATATCCTGAGCTGAATTTCGCATTTCCCTAAAACTAGAACAGCCCACATCCTTAACTATTTGCGAACAGTAATCTAACCTAGGTCTACCTCTACCCCTCCTAACTCCTGTTTCTGTCTCTAATATATCTTTGACTAGACCTTCATGCCTGAGAAGGTGTCCTACCAACCTATCTCGCCTATTTTTTATTGACTTCCATAGAGTCCTCTGTTCTCCTATTCTTTCCAATACCTCTTCATTTCTAACCTTTTCTACCCACGATATCC